GTGGGTGTTGTTGGAGGGAGGTGTACCTATATTTTGGACGTATTCCGCTACGACAAAGCAAGGCTACAGAGGAATCGGCCCCGGGACCCGGAGTCGACGACTCCGGAACCATCGACCCCAGAATCAACGAGTCAGGAGCGGAAGGCGCGGAAGATGAACCGACAGTCGTTCCCTGAAGCCTTGATCTCCGGGACTCCGAAGAGGACCCTGAAGACGTTCACAGAGAACGGTGGAGAAGGATTTGCTCACACCAGGTACACGACCTGGGGCTAGCGCCTCTGGCAAGTTTCCTCCGCGGTGAGACAGAACAGTTGCCCCTGAAGCAAACAACGCACTTGGCTAAGATAGCGGACCGGTTCGTGCTGGACTCCCGGGATGCCTTGTTTTATGTGATTCGAAGCACTCCAGAACGTCTTCGGGGCGCCATTGATCGTCTTCGCCTGGTACCTCCAGGAGAACATTCTGCGCCACTGTCACGCGGATTTCCAGGGTGCTCATCAGAGCATACCTGAGACCGCGCAAGTAGTTCTACTGGATCGGAATGTTCAAGAACACCGAGCGATACGTCAAAACGTGCGTTGACTGTGTCATGGCTAAGGGACTACCCCGGAACCCGGGATCGTTGCCCTGTAACCTGCTGGCCACACGACCGTTCCAGGTCGTCTCCATGGACTTTGTGATACCGCTGCATCAGTCCGCCCGGGGAAATACGGCACTACTCCTGTTCCAGTGCACGTTCTCAGGTTTCATCATGTGCAAAGCCATGACGAGACCCGAAGCCCAAGATGTGTCTGAAGCCTATGAAGAGTGTGTGTTCCGAAGGTTCGGAGCCAGTGAGATGATCCGTCACGACCGAGACCCGCGCTTCATGGGTCGGGTCTTCACGCACTGCTGGGGGATGCTCGAAAGCAGACAACGCGCGACTCCGGCCTATCGCGCCCAGGCCAACGGACAACAAGAGAGGTCAGGGCAGACGGTGATCCGAAGCGCCCAGGCGTACGTGCAGACGGGGCGGACCAGAGTGACTGGGATGAGCTGGCGGAGAAACTCATGTGGGTACTGAACACCTCTATCGACTTTACCCGACTGGACGCGCCGTTCTGTTTAGTACATGGTTGGGACGCCCAAGAGTGGCGCACAAAGATCCAGCGTCAAGTAGAGTACGAGGTCGAAGCGATACTCGACGTGCGCTGGGGCACCCGGACCCGCACCAGCCGGCACGTCAAGGAATACCTAGTAAAATGGAAAGGTTATGAGGCGCCGGACTGGGTTCCCCAAGGACGTCTCAATTGCGGGGGGGCTACTCTACGAGTTCGACCACGGAGAGCGATCCTGCGTACGTTGCCAGGCCATGCAGTCTGGAGACGAGCTCCCGGACGAAGAAGTCCAGTAGAGCCCAGGGGCGTGGACCCAGAGCCTACTGCAGTGGTGAGCTCTGGAGTGTCCCCCAGGAACCTCATGTTCTCAGGCGAGAATGTTCCCAAGAACATGAGTGAAGTGCATGTTTCCTGGGGAGTGGATCCGGAGCCCACTGCTAAGTGCGCCCTGGCGTGTCCCCCAGGAGCCTTGTGTCCCCTGATGAGAACACTCTCTGGGACACATGTTAGCATGACATATACATGTTAGCAAAGGAAAGACAAGAGGACTTGGAGACGACAAGACGAACGAACAAGGCGAAGACGAAGCAAATGCAAAGATGTATTAAAAGGTCATACGAAGGCTCCGGGATTAGCTAACCCCGGGCTAGCTCAGCTCCTAAGGACTAACAGCGGGCGCGGGGCATGGTGTATTCCTCGGACTCTGGAACTGGGAGGCGATCAACATGATTCACCACGCGCGTGGCCCAGACGGCCGACTAAACATTCTTCGCGATACGCTCCTTCGGGCGGGAAGATCCCCAATAGAGGTGAGCTGGTTCGCACTGGTCCAGCATATCGAGCTGGACACGAAGACTCTTGTGAGCCGCCGGGTCCATGGGGATTCACACACATGGTTTCCGAGAGTGACGCCAAAATGCCGCTTCAATCCGGAACAGTTTGCGCTCGGGGGCGGGAAGTGTAGCCACGTCAGCTTGGACATCCTTGGGGGCTCTCTCGTACTTCGGCTGGCGCCCAGCCCGATCTTGGTGGAGGAGGGCATCGGCTTCGATGTTGCGGTTCAGCACTAGTGCGGACGCGTCCACTCTTACCTGCGCCAAATCCACATAAATAAGACATAGCGCCTCGCAATGGCGACGAATTCCGAGGTCAAGGTCTCCGGACAAACAGTAAGACCCGAATGCGCTCGTCAAACATGTCATCTCAATGAGCTTGAGCCTGGTTGATGTCTTGGTACTCCGCGACTGGGACCCGCTCTGCCATGGAATGAACCTCGTCGCACATCACCTCGTAATCCGGGATACCCCGGTTCTCGTGTTTATGGGGAGTGCTGGTCCGGCGCACGCGCGTGTTGTAGATGATCCAAGATTTGGTTAGATGGGTGTCCGTGTGGAACCCCTCGAAACCCATGTCCGGAGTCCACGGCAAGGACCTAGCCCGGCGCGGAAAGATGGTCTCGCCATTAGAAAAGACGTCTAACAGTGCCAGCTTAGTCTTCTCCCCGAGGAGTTCGGGAAGAACTTGTTTTTGCTGGCCGAAGGTATCGTGGGAGCGATTTGCTTGGGCGCTTGCCTGCAGGAGTTTTCGATTTGACCCGGGGGCGTTTACCGAGAGAAGTCTCATCGTTGGATTCATTACCACCACGCTCGCCAATCGAAGCGTTCTCCTCATTTTCTGAAAGGCTGGGGCTATCCCGGGGCTAGAGCGCCTCTGAAGGCCAAGTGTTCACGCCCTCTGCTACTCCCAACTCCCAGTCATCATCCTCTGCCTCTGCCAAGGCCCGCTTGAAGAACTCCTCGGGAACTTGCTTGAACCAGGACACCTCATCCAGGGCCGAAAGTATCAGCGCCCGGCGCAGGAACTCAACCAGCACCATCTTCCGAAGCCTGACGTGTACCACGATGTCCTCGGCAGTACGACCCTGGATAGCGTTCTCCGCATCTGCTAGAGTACAGCGATCCGTGTCCATCTGACAGTACTCCAGAACGTCTATGCGCACATCTTCAACCATGGAACGAGTCGGCATCTGCGCCAATTCTTCCACGGGCCGAACTGGCTCGGCATCCGAGTCAATGGATCAGTAGAACCCCGCTTTCGGGTCAGTCTGGGGGTTGTAGATTTCGGGTCTGACCTGGCGCAGCCCATCAGGAGACATCTGGGGCCATGGCTCCGAGACGCCTTCAATCTCGACATCCCCGGCCTCGGGAGGGTTTTGCATCCCAGGCCCTCGTCTATGGGTCACGCTTCTCTTGCGGGGGGATCCTTCCCTCCTCGGCGTCACCTCCGCCCATGTTAATGCCGCGTCAAACAAATGGCCGAGGATAGCAGCCCCGGAAATTTCCGGGACAGGTCGCAGCAGGGTACTCCCGTGAGAAGCATGGAGAGGGGGCCCGGAACCAGTCGAGCGAGAAGAGGCATCCCAGGGAACAGCAGCCTTCTTGGTCGAGCCGGAAGATTTAGGCTCTTGTGAGGAACAGACGCGGGTGTGGGGTTGGACTCCCCGGAGTCGACCGCTAAGGGATCACTCCCTCCGCTGACCCTGCTCTCGTTAACGGAAGCAGCGCTGGAGGTACCGTTGGAGCCCCCTTCGTCGCTTTCTGCCTGCGTAGGCTGGAACGGAGGAGGCTAGGCGTTGTTCCGACTCACCATCAGGAACACAGAATATGGTGGTTGCTCCGACTGACAGTACGCTGACAACTGCTCTCGGAACTTAGACGCCCCCATCATAACCCTAAGGCTCCCTTGATCGTTAAAAAACCGGAATAGATTGTCGGGGTTGAACAAGGTTCTGAAGCGCCGGCCTTCGGTGCGTAAGTCTTGGTTAACACGCAGAGCTTCCGGATTTGCTTAGACAAGCGACGAACCTCGGCGTCGTGCTTGGTCCAGGGGATCGACTCGCCAGGAACCACCGCGGGACGAGAAGCGAGTTGTGTTTGTATAGCCTCGAACTTAGTCTTTACTGATACGAGTTACTGGGACACCTCGGTGCGAACTGTTTGGAGGGTCCTAACCTTCTCTCGCTCCACCGCCAACGCTTTATCCGCTGCATCCCGGGTGCTTGAAGGTTTGGCCGCTTCGTTCCGCCCTCCGTGAGCGCCCGTACAGCATCCAGGTATCTCGTTTGAGTAAGCTCCAGACGGGATGCTAGAGTAGTCCCTTGCTGAACCTCAGACCGGAGGATCGACTGGGTCCGATTACAGAAACCTTGATAAGAGGAGAGGGTGGTCGAGCTTACCTCCAGAAGAGCGGCCTCCCACTCTCGGTCCCGGGCCTCCCGCAGAACGACCTCGTTCTCCATCACTTGCTGGAGGATAGCGTTAGCCATCTCGCTGCGGGGATCCGCGCTGGTCGCCAGATCGCGAGCCGGCTCCAGGAGTCGCAACCGATCTAAAGACAGACGGAGTGTTCAGCACCCGATAGCCAAATCGGCTAGATCCGAAGACATCCAGGATAGGACCTGACTGGATCTCCGAAGACCGAGCGCGTTGGCCGGAAACAACGGATGATGAGCCCCCGGAGAGATGCTCCGGAGTGAGGATGTCCGTGGGTGTGCGATCGTACGGTCCTGATCAAGCTGCTAAAGGAAGCCAGCATGACTCCCGGACCCTTCGAGACGGATGATCTGTTTGATCTTGATCTGATCGTGATACAAGCCACAAGCCGAGATCTCCTCGGAAAGATGAAGATCTTGGTTGGCGAAGTGCCCCAGATCGCGGATTCGGTATCATCACCCCGGATCGACGTAGTGGACAACCTGACGGTGTCATCACACTATGCATCTGCGGCCGAAGGCGGATCCGACACCTCATCGGAACCCCGGCGTATGTCGCTGGGACCTTCAGGTGCGGTCATGCTGGAGGCGAGATCCAATATCCGGCGTCAAAGCCCAGCCAGATCTGGGAGTCAGTCTAAGGGATCAACACCGACTGATCAAGCCACAATCACTTCGAGCTCTGATCGGTCGGCTGGAACGCTCCAGAAGCTCTTCAACGCCGCGATGGATCGGTTCCTAGCTGAACAACAAGCGGCAGGTGCGAATCTAGTCGTTACGGAACCTCAGAATACCGGATCACGGGATGTCGACATGGAGTCGATCCGATAATCGGATCGCGGATCCAATTGGGAATACGATCCGGACAACATCGACTTCTCGGCATCCGTCCAAGCTGCTGTGACCACTGCCGCATCCGGATCCACTGGATTCACCATGATCCAACGAGTCTGGATCTCGGCGATCTCGGATCTGAAGGAGTTTTCTGGAAAGGATCCGGACGAGGATCGAGCTCGAGCTTGGATCAGCAAGGTCAAGTCGGCCTTCATGCGGGATCAAGCATCCGACGAAGAGAAATGCTTGACCTTCGCCGATCTGCTTGCAGGATCCGCGAAGAACTGGTACCGCCAACTAAGCCGATCCACGCGAAATAAGTGGGGCGATCTGTTTCGCAGTTCCAGATCCAGTATTGCGGACTTGGAGTATCAGTGGCGAGGCAATATTACCATGCGCGTCGCAGATCCGATGAATCGCCGCTGGACTATCTGTACCGGTTGAACGTTGCCAGATTGCGTGCGCGATTCAAGATCAAAGATGGTAGTACCAAGGATCGGTGTGAACATGTGGATCACTTCATTGAAACACTGGAGGATCCGGATCTGGCGCATCGGCTGACGTTATTGCGACTATCGGATGCGGATGATCTGGAGGAAGTACTTCGTGCGCGGGATCGGGCCAAATGCCGACAGAAGAAGGCTGCGTTCGGATCCGGCAAGTTCCGACAGAAGGCATCCAATGCTGCACCGGCTCCAGCCAAACAAGTGCGAGCGATCCAGATCCAGGCTGCTGACTCCGGATCCGATTCTTCCGATGGATCGGACGGATCCGACTCTGAGATGGATAGTCATCGCCGGATCTACCTCGCCGCGAATGAAGAGGTCACAACGGAGGAGGAAAACGAGACGATCATGCCGG